CATTCCTGAATTTGATTCAGTTTTTCTGTTACATCTCCCACCTGTTGCCTCTTATTCTTAATTTATCTGCCTTTTGTTAGTATATATATATTTTTTTTGGATAATGGTTAGGTGCAATCTTTTTTTGTAGATATAATCATATTCTAGGCATATGACTGAAACTGACTTTGTTCCCAAATTTTCTGTCCACTGTAAAGAACTACTGTCAACCATCATCCATCTGTCTATCCATCTGTCTACCTATCTATCATCTCTTTATCTAATCTTACTAGTTTATATCTTAGAGAGTGAGCTCTGGGTTTCTCATTGTTGCTACCATGTACTAACTATAAATATCAATTCAGAAATTGCTATTAGGATTATTAAAGTAGATCTTAAATATCATACTATGTATTACAAAAAATGTATTTATTTTTCTTTTTGAAAATAAGGTTTGCTTCTCTCATTTTGAAAATTAGATAAATCAAAAATGGCAGAACTCTTTATGGAATGTGAAGAAGAAGAGTTGGAACCATGGCAGAAGAAAGTAAAAGAGGTTGATGATGATGATGATGATGAGCCGATCTTTGTTGGAGAGATATCAAGTTCAAAACCAGCAATTTCAAGTGAGCATTTACTTTTAGTGAAGCCCAGTTTTGTAAGATACTGTTTCTAATAGAAAAACTTGGGAACTGTTTTATAGGTATTTAATTAAGTTCTTGTTCCTCTGGAGGGAGTTAGGGATGACAGATTGGGTCGGAGGTCAGTAAGAATTTCAGAGTCAGGGTTTTGATTGGGGACTTAAGGAAGGAGGTAAGAGGTTAAAATATCAGATGTGAGAAAAAGAAACGGACTAAGATTAGCTGGTGACACTGGAGGTCTTTTCATATTACAAATCATAATTTTTAGTGGAGCCAGGTAAACCTGTTTATATTTTTGCTCATTTTCTTTTTTTCCTTTTTCCTCTTTTAAACTGAGAAACAGAAGAGTTTAAAATATTTTGCTTAAAATGTCAGAATACACTAAATAAGTTTGGGTTAGTCTCAGATAGGGGTTCTTACATCTAAGCAACTGCCTCATTGCAGTGTCATCTATACATAGCTACAGAATATATAGGCAGTGAATGATTTCAGTTAGAGTAACTCGATTTGACATTGTTACAGTGTTAAAGACAAACGACACTTGTTAAAATGTCCACTCAAAAATGTATAGAAGTACAGAGAAATAATGTACAAATTTCAGGGGAGAAAGAGAAAATAGATCCCTTCCCATTGCATTTACATGTTTATTTGCTTATTTAAGTCAGGAGAATTTACCAAAGAATGTAACCAGCATACTAGTGTTTTCTTACCAAGTTAGTGCGTAGGAGTGTAATTAGGAGACTACTTTTAAATTTTCTGAAGGCCTGGCTCTTCCTTTTGTTGCCTCTAAACTTGGAATGGCATTTTTAGTCAGTTTTATTAGAGGAAGAATAGCTTAACCAATTGAATTCTCAGTAGCATTTTTTTGTGACAGATTGATAATAACTCCTAGAGGTTCTAAGTGGAGTGCCACTTCGACTATAAATTGAACTAGGCGTGATGGCATGCTTGTTGATGATAGTGGAACATAATTATATATTCTCTTAATTACTGTTTCTTGCCACTGTGATTATTTTATACTGGAATATTACCATATTGCAAAATTGTTACTCACGTTCTCTTATTGAAAAGATGACAGTTAAGATTTAAATTGAATTTATATTGATTGTACATGACTGTTAACAGTATTCAACTGGAATAACATATATTAGTTTTAAAATAATTCTGTCAGAAGGGGATTGACCAGGAAGAATTTCTTTTGTGTACTCTTAACATGCACAATTTAAATGATTTTATTGGTGTTTATGTATAAGCCATAAAATATTTTAACATATGGAGTATGAGCTAAATGTTTATATACAGTTGCCAGAAAGGAAGGTACAAACTTTTGTAGAAAACAAACACCAAAAGGACTTTAGCAATAGTTCTTTGATGGTTTGAGTAAATACTTAATCTTGAATTTCTGAATGAAAATGGGGTCAAGTTGCTTGAGCAGATTTTTCTCCTTTAAGACATCTCTAGTACTTAGGTATAGAGCACTGCATTGCCATTTTCAGAAAACAGTCCTACTTTTATATGGCCCTTTACTTTATAGAATTTTTTTATGGGAGCTGGTTCCTTTCTACTACGAGGGGAAAAAAGGAAATTTATATGAGGTCTCGTGTTTGTGCTTTTACCTTTTTCGAACCAACAGTTTCAGGCAATCCTTACTCTTCTAAATTTTAGTTTGATTACTGAAAAACCTGTAATTAGGAACTTTAAACTGCAATTAGGAACTTTAAACTGATCCTGAAAGTCATATTATGCTCTGACTTCTGGTATAGTGATAAATTTGAAGCCCCTTATGTTGTAAAATATTCTGGTAAACTGTGTGTTCATTGCAGTCAGTATTCTCTGATAGTTTCCCTTTCAGGACTCAGTAATGGTGCAGAAATCCAGTGAGATCCCTTATAATGATACTTCAGGGCTTATAAGGGTATGAATTGGTATGGATGTTAGACAGGGTTTGATTTTGAGTAATAGGAACTTGAGTGTATGTATAGCCCTTTCATCACTCAAAGAAAGATATATACTTCAATTATAGTTGTATATGAGTATATTTTTAGAAATTTTTTGCCAATTATATGACTATTTCTTTGCCATGCAGAAGGTTTGACTTATATGTAGTCATATTTATCAATCTTTAACTTCTGGCTTTTGGATTTTGAGTTACAGTTAGAAAGATTGTTCTTATTCTATAAGATAATTAAGATGCATAATCTTATTTCTTTAGTAGATAAAGATATATACGTTTAAAATTAACTATATTCATAAGTCAGCATTAACTTGTATTCTTCTTCTAGGAATCTGTTTTCAGTGTATGATTTCTATTATCTTAATATATATATCATTCAAACAGTGAATTCTAAAATAAATGTAATCTTTTATAGATATTTTGAATAGAGTAAACCCCAGCTCATATTCAAGGGGAATAAAGAATGGTGCACTCAGCCGAGGTACAGTATTATTGTACTATTTTTGTTTTAAAGTGAAGTATTTTGACATCATTGATTATATAGAAATATATTCAATATGTTGTGTAATTTTAAAATACAGGTATTACTGCTGCATTCAAGCCTACAAGTCAACACTACACGAACCCAACATCAAATCCAGTGCCTGCCTCGCCAGTAAATTTTCATCCTGAATCTAGATCTTCAGATAGTTCTGTTATTGTTCAGCCTTTGTCTAAACCTGTAAGTGTTTCTGAAACTACACAGTCAGCTGAGGGATACATTGGGTATTATTTATCAGTATCAACAATGCCTAGTTAAAATTCTGTACTACCATGGGTAATCATCTAATGGAATCATAATCAGCATCAGAAAATGTCACTTTCTCTATGATAGCTCAACTGGTACCCAAATAATAATTGCAGTAACAAACTACTCAGCCTGTTTTTACATCAGGTAATATGCTTAAATTAAATAGGTACAGTATTGAAAACTGTGCTATCAAAACATGAATAAAAGTATAATTAGTAATGAATATTGCATAATGGCAAACTATTTCAGATTGTAAATTGGGCCAAATGTTCTTAGTTCTTAATTGGGAAAATTGCTAAGAGGCTACTGGAGATTTTTATTCTGAAAACATGCCATCATAGTTTAGTTAGTTTAAATAACTCTTAACAAAAACTAATAGTTGATACTTATTGAGTTGTTACTATGGGCAAGGCTTTGTGCTAAATGCTGTACATGAATTAATCTCATTTAATTCTTAAATGTTACTATGAAGTAGGCACTATTATTTTTCTCTGTTTTATAGTTGAGGAAACTGAGGCTCACAGTGAATTTAAATAATTAAATGTTAAATTTAATAATTTAAATAATTCACTCAGGGTCACACAGCTGGCAAATGATAGATCTAGGATTTCAATCCAGACTAATCCGTAGTTTATTTGTATTTGTATATACATGCATGTATGTTGTACGTAAATGTATACTTCTAAAAAAAAATGGAAGCATTGCCTTAGTGTGAAAATTTTCAAAGTGTAGTCTTCAGTCCCCTGGGGTTCCCGTAAGACTCTTTTATAATATAACCTACCTAAATAAAAATTCTTTTGGGTTCTCAGTAATTTTTCAATGTGTAGAGGGATTCTGAAACCAAGGAGTTAGAGTACTAAAACAAAAAGTTACCCAAAATGTGAAGATTCTTTGCTACTGGAATTGAATTAACTCAGTGGATTTTTTCATGCTTCATAGGCTATTTGGCATTGGCCTTACAGAAATAGTAAATTTCCCCTAAAATGTTTTTTCTTTTTACAATAAATGAAACAACTACCAAAGCGCCTATAAATTTTCTTGCAAATATTCAATTTCAAAACCAGAATTGAATCCAGATATTTTTGATATGACTAATCCATTTTTCCTTTACTTTATATCATATTACTTTAAGGTAATCTACATATTTGTTACCACTAAAAATTGATATTTGAGGTGTATCTTTCATAGAAGACTTATTAAATCTAATTTTATTTACATGAAAAGAAAAATCTATGGCCAAATAAACTCTGCCCCCACTTATATTTTGAAGAGGTCATATATCATAAAAAATAAGAGTATCTTTGGGCAAATACCACCCCCCCCATATCTTTTCTGTAGTTTTAGCATTCTGAAATAATAATATTGATATGAGCCCTGGACTAGTAGTTTAAATAACTTAAGATTGAAGGAAGAGACTTGAATGCTGATTCTGCCTTGTTCTTAACTAAAGCATTGGCAAAACCTCTCTGAGCCTCATTTTCTTCATTTCTAAAATGAGAGATAATTTTACCCAGACTGCTGATTCTCAATCTTGGATCCTAAGATGATAAGCTACCCAAAATGTAAAGATTCTTTGTTATTAGTGGAATCAGATTAACTTGGTAGGTTTCTCATGCGTATTGTAAGCTTTTTGGCATTTGGAAGGATAGAAAACCGGAAAAAGAAACTTTATTATTTAATTCAGTTTGATAGATAAAAATCTTTCCAACATTGGACCCAGAGGAAAAAAAATAAAGTGAGGGGTGATAGCTTTGGTGTTATAAAAGTTAGAAACTAGAGCTTTTTCTAACTCAAAATGTTTTACTTCTGTGGGCATAGTTTTTAAATCAAAACACCTCAATTAATAGTTCCAGATCTTGGGGAGTTTTTAAAAGGCGAAATTTTGTCAGTTGGTCTGGGTGGATGGGTCTTGGAAGTAATACATTTTAAAAAGCTCTCCAGGTGATTCTAATGTGCACAGATAAGAATGACATATATTCTGGAATGAATTGAGGGTGCTATGTAAGGAAATTATTTACTGTGAATTTTGGAAGCCACTGCTTTTAATTATAGTTTTTCATTTTATGTCATGTTTTGTATGTATGTGTATATTTACTTTTTCATGTAACATCTCTATACTTCCGTGTCTCTTTCAAATCTGTTTCAGGTAGTGGGGATATATTGTTATCATTTAAAAAGTCAGTGTGATATAGCTTAAGGGCATAGGCTTTGTAATTAGACCCAACTTCTAATTACAGCTCCATCAATAATAAGTGGGGCTGTATTGGGAACCTTGCATAACCACACCTAACCTTAGTTTACCTACTTATAAAATGGGGTATAAGGTCTTTATTAGTACTGTTGTGACAACTACTTGATTTAAAATATGCAGTGAACCGTGAAGTGCAGGTATATTTAAAATATGACTGTGGCTTGTGTTTTAGGTGTGAAGGGTGAATAACTTCAAGTTCAGAAGTGACTTGCCCAAGGTTTTGTAGCTAAATAAATGTGCGGATTTTCTGGATCCCAGTCTAGCACCCATTCTACCCTTACTGTTGTGTTTGATATCTTTCTGAACAGTTTTAGGAGACTTCAAAAATTCCATGTTGGATACTTATTTTAACCAGTTACTGTTTATTTTGTTGTTTTTAAAATTTATTTTTGGCTGCATTGGGTCTTCCCTGCTGCACGCAGGCTTTCTGTAGTTGTGGCGAGTGGGAGCTACTCTTCGTTGCAGTGCACAGGCTTCTCCTTTTGGTGGCTTCTCTGGTTGTGGAGCACAGGCTCTAGGCACACAGGCTTCAGTGATTGCAGCACGCGGGCTCAGTAGTTGTGGCTCGTGGGCTCTAGAGTGCAGTCTCAGTAGCTGTGGCACATGGCTTAGTTGCTTCACCAACATGTGGGGTATTCCCAGACCAGGGATCGAACCCATGTCCCCTGCATTGGCAGGTGGATTCTCATCCACTGCACCACTCAGGAAGTCTACCAGGTATTGTTGAATAATGTGTGCCTGCTCTCTGCAACTGTGGTGCTTACATAGCCAGAGTTATTTCCTAGGAAAGTGTTTAATAGTATTAACTTTGTACTTCTGTTAAAGAACTTTTAGAAAATGTAGGTGAATATTATCCATTGTTTTATGTGTAAATATTTGAAGAAAATATCTTGAAGCAAGATTGTGCTTGGTTACAATTAAGTTATATGGCATCACAGATTTTTTTTTTTTTTTAATGTTGCACGTTAAGGCTCAAATGTAAATGTCTGTTAGGCTTCAAATTCTTTGAGTGTCTTGGGTTACTTCGATACCCGTTTCCATAACAACAACTTTTTTTTTAAAACAGCAACAATCATTTATTTAGTCACATCTGCAATGCGTGCAGGGTGTGGTGAGGAAGGCTTATGTCTTTTTTAAATTAAGAAAAAAATTTTTATTGAGGTGTAGTTGACATACAGCATATTTGTTTCAGATGTACAGCATAATGATTCAATATTTGTATATATTGTGAAATGATCACCACAGTAAGTCTAGTTAAAGTCCGTCACCATACATCATTACAGAATTTTTTTCTTGTGATGAGAAATTTTAAGATCTCTCTTAGTAACTTTCACATATGCAGTACAGCATTATTAACTTTAGTCACCATGCTGAACTTCACATCCCTATAATTTATTTATTTTATAAGTGGAAGCTTATTCACTTTGACTCCCTTCACCCATATTTTGTTTCTGTAACTTCTCATGGACAAACTCATGTCAATAGAAAAGTTAGTAGTAAACCAAAATTCTTAAAACTTATTTGTCCCTTAATTTATAAGCACAAAATAAGCAAAACCTTCCTGTTTGTATTTTGAAATAATATGTATTTTGTTGGGAAAGTTTAGAAAGAGAGAAGTGTACATACTGTATTTTGATTTTTCCCCCCTTCAAACAGTGTAGATTATATCAGTCAGAACCAAACTATATACACAGATGTGTATTTCTCTTTTTTCACTGAACATTCTACTAGGAATGTGTCACTGGATATTTCTCAAAAACATATTAGTGGTTGCATGGTAATCTTTTAATTTATTTAACCATTTTTCCATTGTTGGACATAAAGATTTTAATTTTTTGCTGTTAAAAATAATTCTCCAATAAACAGTTTCACTTCCTTACTATAAATTTTTAAAGTGGAATCGTTGGATGAAAGGATGTAAACTAATATAAAGCCTGTGATAGCTGCTGCCACAATTTTCATGTGGAAAAGTTATACCTAAATATAGCTTCTATTTTGCCAGTAGTATATGTTATCATTTTTTAATTGATAAATTTTAATTTTATTTCAAACTAATTTTAGACTTACAGGAAATATAATACAATATCCCTAATGCTGACATTTTACTTATCAAAACTAAATTGCAGACCTTATTTGAATTTTACCAGTTTTTCCATTAATGTCATTTTTTGTTCCCAGCATCCTATTTAGGATCACACCTTAACAGTTTGTTATTTCTTCTTAGTCTGCTCATATTTTTCTACAGTTACTTACTCTTTGTCTATTATGACCTTGATACTTTCAAGAGAAGTGGCAATTATTTTGTGTTGTGTAATTGCCATTGTCTTTACTTGCATTTCTTTGACTAGTAAGTTGGGAAAAAAGTTTTTTGTATGTATTGGTCATTTGTTTTTTGCTTTTGAAGTGCCTCAGTTTATGCCCTTTGCACATTTTTCTCTTAAAGTGACCTTTTCCCTTTTGATCTTTAAGTCTTGTTAAATCTTAGAGCTTTTGCTGTTATATATTATGACTCATAGAATGGTCCAAAATCACTCTAATGAGAGCTCACTCTGTACAATGATGGTCTTTTATAAATAGAATTGGGTTCTATTTGTGTGTGTGTGTATCAGTATATTTAATATATAATAGTTTTGGAATACATATATATCCCTAAATTATATTGACCACATTTTATGATTATTTATATTAATATATATGTGTGCTAACATATAAATTTATACTATCTTATATTTGACTATATTATGATTCATTTCATACTTTTCACTCTTGATATCTTCCTGTTAACTGGGACCACACTTTCTCCTGATAGAAGGGCTAAAACTTTCCTTGAGCTCCAAGCACTTCAGGAATGGAGCAGGTGTCCCAGATCAGTCCTATAAACAGCTTCCATTCTAAACCCTGTGTGCCTAGCTTTCTTGTTTGTTCACCCTGCTGACCTGGCAGTTTTGTATTTGCCCTAAGAGGTGGGAGATTGCCTGGCCCAGCATGGCTTTCCGTAGGATGCTGGGAAGAGGGGGGACCCATTAGTTTTCTTTCTTAGACTTGGCTTATAAATTTTGCCAGTAAAGATGATCCCAAAACTCATATCATGTGATATGTTCATCCTTAACCCTGATGCACCATACTGCAGATTAATTCCCAGTATGTTTGCCCTGATATTTTTATCTGTGGGGTTTATAGAGGTATAGAAGCTTCTAAAATTGTACATATGTCAGAATATTTACATATTTTTTTCCTTGCTTTTACCCAAAGATTTTGGTAAGTTCTATTATTTGCTCTTTGATAGGAATCCTGCATTTTTAGTGACTCTCTGAAGTGAATCAGTCATACTGATTTAAAATGGGTTTGTATGTTTCTTTTACCTTGAAAAAAAATCAGGCTAGAATTTTCCCCCCATTTTAATTGACTAGTCAGGAACAAGCCAGCTCTAAGTAATAGCTTGCTTTCAGTTTTAGTAGATGATAATTTTGGCATAATAGTAATAATTGCCTTTGTGTTTTATAACTTATTAGTAATGGAGTCATCAAAGCTTATCCTTATAATATTGGCATACAGTTAAATTTACCTTTATAAAAGCTTATGAAACAAAATAATTATAATTATGTTGAATATATGTAATGTTCTTCCTTTGAAATATTTTAACAGGGTTATGTAACGAAGTCATCACGAGTTGTTTCTAATAATTCTTCAGAGTTACTGTTTGACTTGACCCAGGATACAGGATTACCACTTTACCAAGGAGGACCTACACTTTCTATAGCAGGTTGGTTTCAGCACTTTTTCAAAAAATTAGAAAAAGAAGCTTGATGAATATGCATATGGAATTGACTTTCTGTTTTGAAGTCCATGCCTTCAAGTTAAGTTTTTCGCATATTGTAAGGTGTAATGGCGCTAGTAGTTCTCGAATGCCTTTTTAGGTAGTTTTAAATGAAATCTTATTTACTAATAGAATATTTTATTTCTTCCTGTTAATTAAGTAGGCTAACCAACTTTGACCTTGTTCGCACTTGGCATTAAACATGGCCTGAAAAAATTTTATTTTTATTTTTTTATTTTAATTTTATTGGAGCAGAGTTGATTTACAATGTTGTGTTAGTTTCAGGTGTACAACAAAGTGATGTTATACATATACATATATTCATTCTTTTTTAGATTCTTTTCTCATATAGGTTATCACAGAATACTGAGTAGAGTTCCCTGTGCTATACAGTAGGTCCTTGTTGGTTGTCTATCTGATATATAATAGTGTGTGTATGTTCATCCCAAGATCCTGATTTATCCCTCCCCACCATGTTTCCCTTTTGGTAACCATAAGTTTGTTTTTAGATATCTGTAAGTCTGTTCCTATTTTGTAAATAAGTTCATTTGTATCATTTTTTAAAATTAGATTCCACATATGAATGATATCATATGATATTTGTTTTTGTCTGACTTACTTCACTTAGTATGATAATCTCTAGGTCCATCCATGTTGTTGCAAATGGCATTGTTTCATTCTTTTTATGGCTGAGTAATATTCCATTGTATATATGTACCACATCTTCTTTATCCATTCCTCTGTTGATGGACATTTAGGTTGCTTTCATGTCTTGGCTATTGTAAACAGAGCTGCAATGAACATTGGGGTGCATGTATCTTTTCGAAGTATGGTTTTCTCCAGATATATGCCTAGGAGTGGGATTGCTGGATCATATGGTAACTCTATTTTTATTTTTTTAAGGAACCTCCATACTGTTCTCCGTAATGGTTATACCAATTTACATTCCCATCAGCAGTGTAGGAGTCTTCCCTTTTCTCCACACCCTCTCCAGCATTCATTGTTTGTAAACTGACCGGTGTGGGTGATACCTCATTGTAGTTTTGATTTGCATTTCTCTGATAATTTGTGATGTTGAGGATCTTTTCGTGTGCTTTTTAGCCATCTGTATTTGGAGAAATGTCTATTTAGATCTTCTGCCCATTTTTTGATTGGGTTGTTTGTTTTTTTTGACGTAGAGCTGCGTGAGTTGTTTGTATATTTTGGCAATTAATCCCTTGTTCGTTGCTTAGTTTGCAAATATTTTCTCCCATTCTGTGGGTTGTCTTTTCATTTTGTTTATGGTTTCCTTTGCTGTGCAGAACGTTTCAAATTTAATTAGGTCCCATTGTTTTGGTTTTTATTTTCATTACTCTAGGAGGTGGATCAAAAAAGATATTGCTGCAATTTATGTCAAAGAGTGTTCTTCCTGTTTTCCTCTAAGAGTTTTATAGTGTCTGGCCTTACATTTAGGTCTTTGATCCATTTTGAGTTTATTTTTGTGTGTGATGTTAGAGAATCTTCTAATTTCATTCTTTTACATGTAGCTGTCCAGTTTTCCCAGCACCACTTATTGAAGAGTCTGCCTTTTCTCCATTGTATATTCTTGCCTCCTTTGTCATAGATTAATTGACAATAGGTGCGTGGGTTTAGTTCTGGGCTTTCTATCCTGTTCCATTGATCTATATTTCTGTTTTTGAGAAAAATATTAAAATAATATCTATAAGTTAGAGAGGTCCTCTGATATCCTAAATACGCTGTTAAAAGGAATATTTATTATGTTCTATGGCCACTAGTATGGAAAAGTGTATGGTTATAGTTAAATTCTCAGGTTAGTGGGTTTCTATTCAATAAACGATTTAGGTATAAAATATGATTACAGAGTGCTGTTATAAAGTGGCTGCACTAAATTTGTCTATAGTCATTACTCAGTAAATGCCTATTGAAGGAGTAATGAAATTTCCCTATTGAAGAAGTTACTTTTATTATATACTATTAACAAAGTTCTTCATTAACCTAAAATAAATTAGTGTGTTATGAAAGAATTTTATCTAATTGAAAATTCCTTGTACAGGCAATTATGCTTTGTATACTAGAAATTTTGATATATTTCAGATATTTGACTAAATTGAGATTTGGGGGAATTTTTAGATTTTTCACTAATAAATTAGTGTGGAAAATTTACCAAATGCTTCCTGATTTTTTTAATAGTAATATCAGTACCTAAAATGTTTTTCCATTTAGATAATATTTACTTGATATTCACTTCTTTGGGTATCACCTACAAATTTGTAAAAAACTAGTTAGTAAAATAGGTAAGAACCAAAAGAAACAAGGAGAAAAAATAATTGTCTTAAGTCTGGTTTTACAAAACACATGAACTTTATTTATAGAAAAAGTCTGAGTTCTTGAAACTTCTTGGGACTAAGAACAGTGACTCCTGCTCTCCTTCTAATTTTTTTTCTGTAGAGAGACTTGAGCCTGTAGATTTGAACTGCTATTCTTAAGATTTTTGTAGCCTTTAGCATGTCTTTACACTTCAGTTTTCGCATACTATTAAAATGGAGATTTTATTTTTCTTATTTAATTCATTCATTCTCCAGACCTTCAATCAGCCATTTGTAGATATAATTTTAATTCTTGCTCTATTTCAGTTAGGGCTTTCTGAAGCCCAAATAAGATAAATAAAACATGAAATGCATTATAAGCTTTAAAGGACTCTACAACAAATATTTGTTATGAATGCTGACAGGTGCAATATGTTCAATAGCATTAATTGATCAAGGTCAAGTGATCATGGATATTTGGAGAGAACTGGGTTTGAGTTTGATCTTGAATGAGAATAGGATTTTTACTGGCCGAGATAGAGTGTTGAGTGTGGGAAACAATACAAGCCAAAGACAATAGAGATAAGTTAAAGGGTCAGAATTTAAAACTCTTAAATTCAGAGTAATTTTATTTCTTATGTTAAAAAAATACTTATAATAAAAGTCTGATGTACTGTCTAGGCTGTTATATAATCAGAATATTAATCCAAAATACCAGCATTCATTAGCTTTTCAGGTAACCTCAGCATCTCACAAGAATGCTACTATGATTACACAGAATGTTTCCCGAGTTCCCATAGTATAGCCATCAGTAATCACATGCTTTGAAGATAGAAAAAAAAAAAATCATTTTTATTATCTCAAAGGATGAAACAGAGGAGCCAACTATTGTAATACTCTTATTTTCCGGGCATATTTCTCCTTATTAAAAAGTGGACAGGTGAATCTATTACAATAATTTTTTCCCCTCTGAAGTAAGTTAAGATATAAAATATTTTATTAGTAAAGATAATAGTTGTTTTTTATTATTGAATGCTTTCTATGTACTAGATGTTGTATTGGTTGCTTTTAAAAGTAAGTTAAGATATGAAATTTTTTTAGTAATGATAATAGCTTTCATTTATTATTGATTACCTTCTTTGTACCAAATATTGTATTCGGTGTTGTATCTTATTTGATCTTAAAAGCGCTGTGTTAAAGACACAGACCTACTAGAGAATGGACTTGAGGATATGGGGAGGGGGAAGGGTAAACTGTGACAAAGCAAGAGAGAGGCTTGGATACACTACCAAACGTAAGGTAGATAGCTAGTGGGAAGCAGCCGCATAGCACAGGGAGATCAGCTCAGTGCTTTGTGACCGCCTGGAGGGGTGGGAGGGATAGGGAGGGTGGGAGGGAGGGAGACGAAAGAGGGAGGAGATATGGTAACATATGTATATATATAACTGATTCATTTTGTTGTAAAACAGAAACTAACACACCATTGTAAAGCAATTATACTCCAATAAAGATGTTAAAAAAAAAAACGCTGTGTAAAATAAGGTATTATAACTCTTACTTTATAAAAGAACAAACTGAGGCTCAGGGAAGTTAATTAAATAAGCCAAGAATACATAGCTATCAGTGACAGAGCCTGGATTTGAACTTATCCTGTCTGGTTTAAAAGCCTGGAATATTTCTAGTGTATTTACTGCTTCTACTTTTAGTGTACAGCTGGGAGCATTAGAATATGATGTGCAGTTTTAAAATCCTTGTTACCTTGCCTAGTTATAGCCTAAATATCCCCATTTTCCTTGCTAATGCTCTGAATAAGGCTAAAATCCTTTAGCAAAAAGGTTATAGTTTTCAAACTAAGACTTCATTTAGGAATGAAATTCCTGTAAAAACAAAATTTTATGCAAAAGTTTAATAAGTTAAATATAAAAGCAGAGTTTCTCTGTCAGACACACCCAGGGTATTCCCTAAGAGGAGCCCATTAAGCTCTGGGGAAGATAATTTGAAAACCATAGTATAATACTAACTCTTTCTATTATGAACCCTTTCACATGAATGAGTGAGGTTTTATCATTCAAGATTAGTAGTTTCCACTTTGTATGTAGGAATAAATGGATAATATAACCTAAAGCCATCAGTAGACCACCTCTTAGTTAGGTGGACAAAGCTAACTTTTCATTAGACATTTTAAGTCATTAAATAAAAAGCTTCTAAAGTGTCTCTCTAAATTTTTGGATTTTTTTTTTTTTAAAACAAACTCATGCACTTAAGCATCTAAAGTTAATTCATTTGTGGGAACCCTGGCATATTCTTTGTGCTTTAACTTTTTTTTCTTTTTTTTGCTTGCTCTGCCTTCTTTCACAATAGCTGTTTATATATTTCTTTATTTGAAGTTATATTTAGTATTGCCTTACATAGAAAGGTATTTTATGAATAATTTGAGTATATATAGTATGTAATAGATATTTATACCATTTCTTTATATCTCCTAACTTTTGATCACATCAAGTTTTGTCATTATTTATTGTTATTTGTATGATGTGATAATTCAATTATATTACATTTAATTTCACTCCAAAGTATTTTTACTTAGTTGTAAGCAGCGTTCTAAAGTCTTTAAAAATATTTTCTCACTATTTAAATCATTACAGGTATGAATGAAAGTTCATTTTTATCAAAACGTCCTTCTACTTCTGAAGTAAACAGTGTTAATCCAAAAAAGTCTAAACCCAGTGAAGGTGTTTCTGGAACAAATTCCTCAGCGTTATTTTCTTCAGTTAAATCTCTTTCAGTGACATCTCCCCAGGCTATGCCGTCAAAAGGTAAATATGAAATGTAGCATATAAAAAAGAAATTATAGTATTTATATATGAATTATAGAAATTGTAATACTATCAATAATGGTTATTGAAGGTTAAAAAGTGATGAATTTTGAATCATATATATTTTGAATTTATTTTAGGTACAAATATCTCATCAAATCAATCTAAAAATGGAACACCTTTTCCAAGAGCTTGTCCAAAGTGCAATATTCATTTCAATCTTTTGGATCCTTTGAAAAATCACATGAAGGTAAAACTTTTTCAAAATTTAATTTTAAAAAGGTTTGCAAATCCCTAAAAATATTGATTGATTTGCAGTAAATAATGATTTGTTCAAATATTTAGATAAGAAATATTCTCATATTGGTATTTACATATGTTAGGTAAAAGTTTATATTCATAATGATTGTCTTTATATAAGATTTTAAAATTTCTTCTGAATCATCAAATTTAAAAAATTGTTCATATACATTATAATGTCTGCTTATTGTATTCTAATTTTAAATGAAAATAATGCATTGTTCAGAATATCTTATTTACTAGCTTATGCATACTTGAAACTTCTTAAAAATAGGCATTTTATTATGTGTTTAATATTTCATATAAGTTAATAGTTCCTTTAGTTATCTTTTTTGTTCATACTAACATGTGCATGTCATGTTACACAATGAAAATCTTAGTTTTACTTTAATTTCAGCACTCAGACATAAACTCCAAATGATGGAGGATTTTATATGAAATAATTGTTTTAACTTAGTCCAGAATATAGTTTGTGTAATTGTTATAAATTAATTTGAGCTTTTTATTGATATAAGAAGCTCCTGAAATTAGATTTTAAGAAATTTTCAAAGTACAAATGAAATAGGAGGTTTAGGTAACACTTCACTTAAAATATTTTGGTAGATATTACAGTACCCTGCTGTGTCTATGGAAAGTTAGCCTGTATTCCTCTTCTCTGCCTGGTATAAATGCAAGGAAGGGGGAAAGAGACAAGAAAAAAGGCAGTGTAGATCATATGGAGAAAAGAAGGAAGGAGAAGGATGCAATGGTAAAGAAATATCTAAGGAAAAGTTTCAGGGATTGCTCACTGTTTCAGGGATTGACAAATCTTTTTTGAAATTCAGTATTTTACAAAAAAAGTAGAAAAAAATAAAGGAACTTTTTAATTTCAAATATAGTCTCTTTATTTAAATACAAAACTATTTGGTCTGTGACTACTTCTAGCTCGCAGTGTGTACTCCCTGATAATTGCACTTTGTGGTTTGTTCTTATATGAGAATTAACCTGTACAAGTGCTTTTAGTTTTCCTATTTACGTAATATTTTGATGAGATAACCTGATGTTTTTTCATGTTTTGCATTTTGGACATAGGGAAAAAAGAAAGGGCTAAATTTTTCTGTTATCTTTAGTTATTTGAATAGGTAATAGTCATATGATTCAAAATTGAAAAGTTTACAAAGGCATACAAGTAAAAACTCTTTATCCCTGTCTCTTATTTACCTGGTTCCCAGTATGACTCTCAAAGAAAATAATTTTTATTACTTTGTTTTATATCCTCCCTGGTCTTCTTTCTGCATAAACAGGTGAACACAAGTGCTCTTCTTTTCTGTTTTGTGTACAAGCTGTAGCACATTATATATACTGTACCTGGTGAGACTGGCAATCATTTTCCAAAATGTAGCTTTACTTCCAAAACATATTATAGCATTGTTTGTGATTACTCATATTAGAAACAATCACAACTTTATATAATATTCATATAATAAAACACTATGCAGCATTTTTAAAAAGGATGGCATCTCTAGAATGATGATACAGGAAGATAGCTCTAAGACATATTATTGAACTAAGTTGAATGTATTATGAATAACTTATTATATTCCTTTATATCATAAAGAAATCTTAGAGAATAGTCACCAGATCTCGGACAGGGAAGTATAAAATTATGGAGACTTTATGTTCTAGATAATGCATTTTATACATAAATTATAATTTACAATAATAATTTCTATTTTGAAAAAATTAAGATTTTTATATTATTTGTAAATGAATTTTTTGCTTTTATTATAGATAAGTAGATGACTGTACCACAGAAATAATGTTTTCTTTCAATGAAGAATACCTAAAACATAATTCAAATATGCTACAATAATAACAATGATATACTTACCTGAGACCATGTGAGACTACTAAGCTTTAAATACATTATTTCATTTGATCCTTAGAAAATTCTTTGACATAGACATTTTTCTCATTGTTTTATAGCCAGTTAATTGGCATAACTGGTATACAAACTTAATGGTAAAAAGCTCAAGTTCTCCCAAATACTTATTATTATTCCCTTTTTGACAAGTGTATGGGCTATTTAACTTGAAGATAGGTACATTATTTCTTTTTAGGGAATTTGATATTTATCAACCAGATCTAGCTTATTAATTACATTATTTAGATTTCTATAACTTATATTTTTGTTTACTTGCTCTGTCATGGATTGAGAAATAGCACATCTCAATCCACATCTTTCACCACCAATATATTTTTTTGCTTTATTGCAATTCTGTTTTAAGATTGTTGCTATTTGTGATACAGATGAATCTCTTTTATAACTGTATTGTGAATGCATCCTTTAGCATTTTTATAAAATGTCCTTTTTTGTTTTAAAGTTTAATGACTTTTAGACTCACCCCTTGTTTTCTTCTGGTTTCTATTTGCCTAGTGTATTCTTTGTTTATCCTTTTATTTTCAACCCTTTTGAGTGGCTTTGTTTTAAGTATGCCTCTTGCTTTAAGCAGAAAGTTGTGATCCTATAATGAAAATCTTTTTTGTTTCAGTAGTTGAGTTAAATTTACTTATTTTCATAGATGTGATAGGTTTATTTGATCTTGGTTCTGTCACAATTTTTTGCTAACTCTTTTCTTCCTCTCTCTTTCTTTCTTTCACTATGTTGTTGCTTTACATGTATGTAATTTGGGTTTTTAGGGAAGTTGTATTTTTGTTTTCCTTTTTATCCTTCTAATTTTAATGTTAATATAATTCCAGTAGTCTTCTATTCCTTTGGCTATTCTCTGCTATTAAAATTGATTAAAGTAGCATTAAACTTCCTATTCTTAACCCCATCTTTACCTTCTCCTCTCCTACTGATTTTAGTCAATATTATCTTTCTGAGTGTACTATTTCTTTGTACTATTGAAAATGCTCATACCTGCACTTCTTTATTTGGTAGCTCTAAATTATATTCCTTGATGTACTGCTACCATATGTGAAGCAATCTGTGAACTCTCTTGACCTCATATTTATTGTCCTTTTACCTCCTTTTAGTTTTTATTTGTTGGTTGTATCATTTTTCCATTGTCAGGGCATATGACATTTTCATTCAGTTTTCTTAACCTTATTTCCGTATTTGTTTTCATCCTTTTCCACGGTAAATATATTCAGTGCTCATCACCAGTCTTTTTGTTATGGTTCCTTTGGTTATGTCTTGTTTGACTAAAGTTCATCCCATAGTAATTTCCTCAGGAAGGGCCTGAGAACACTATTCTTTGAGTTCCTTCATGTTCAAAACAGTTTGACTATAGTCCATTCATGAAAGGCAGTTTGGCCAGATACAAAGTTGTATCCCACTTTGAGGATCTTGTTGGTGTTGCTTTTGTTTTACAATATCTAATGTTGTTGTTAAGAATTTGGGATAAGCTTGTATTATTTTGCCCTTTATAAATGATTTGCTCTTTTTGCCTGGCTGTCCGGAGGATTCTTTATTTTGAAAGACTGATAATTCTACAGTGACTTCTTGTTGAGAATTTTGGATCAGTCTTCTCTGACATACAGCATGTTCTTTCAGCTTGTAAATTTGTGTCTTCCTTTATTTTAGTGCAGTTTTCTTGATTTGTATCTTTAAATTCCATACAATTGTTTTGTTATTTGGGGGGCTGGGTGTTGTCCAGTACTCATTTGTTCATTTGTTCAGTGTCCTTTGTCTGGCATATTTGTGATTTTCTTACTAATCCTTTTAATTCTTTCTCTCTTCCTTCTTCTCTCCTCTCCTCTCCCCTCCCCTCCCCTCCCCTTCCCTCTTTCTTTTAATTTACTAAGCTTTTCTCATTTATTTTATTTTCCAACATCTGTTCACCAGTGTACTTTTCTAATTTGTGTTTAGCTATCTGGTTTTATTTTTTTTCTCTACTTTTACTCTTGATTTTGCTACTCTTTATGTCTTCTTTTTGTCTTGACATCTCTTCTTGCTTTTTGGTTTTCCAAATAGACACAGTTGCTTCATTAAGTTTTTTTAAATTTATGGCAAAAATTTTGGCCCCTATTTTCATCTGCATCTGCCCTAAGGTGTTTTTGTGAGAATTTTACACTTCCTCAATTTATCTTAAAGTATTTTTGTTTAGATGTAAGTTCCTATCATATTGAACAAGTTAGATTTTCTTGGGTTAGTTGTTTTGTACAAAGCTCATTTTGGGAAGCATAGGTTGCCAGGATAATCTCATAGCCTATTAGCTGGTTTATACAACTTCTTCCTGTAAGTGTAACTTGTGTGTCTGATTTTATATGTAGCATTCCTTTTCTGTTTCTCTGTACTGAATGAGGTTTGAGGAATTTCTGCCGTCCTTCTTGCTCCAGCTCCTACACTTGGTTTTGCAAACAAAGAACATAGATTTGTACTTCATGATGTGTATTTCACCTTAGAATATATGTTTTCCTGACACTTTCTAAGGTCTGTTAACATTGGGTTCTTTTGACTTCTCTGGTCTGCTTCCAGCTGCCTGTCTTCTGCCTGATCTGGCTGCTTTTGGTAGTGCTTTCATATGTTGTGGAGTCTGTGGATTCTATCTGACTTTGAATTTTAATGAAAATTAAATTTTTGGAATTTGGTTGTTGTGGTTTTTTGGATGTATCTCACAAGGAGAAGGGAAAAATGTTGACTTATGTAGGATGACCGTATGGGAAGTTTTTTTTACTATTTAAAAATGGTACCCCTTCTTTGCTCTGTAAATCCCATCTAAATTTTTAGGTACTAACAAAGCAATAGAACATGGTATATCTATTGGGAGGAGTAAAGATTAGAATGGTGTTTAGATGTTATCTGCTGTTTGTCAAATTATAGTATATGGCATTAAAGTGTTTAATATTTGCAGAATGATTAACCCAGGAAATAAGGGATGAACCTGGGGTTACAGTGAGGGGCTAGAACCAAAAGGGTACTAGGGCTGAATTACAGGTGACCAGTTAGTGTTGGGCCATAGCTCAGCCGTGCCATCCATCACTTGTTCTGTCTTACCATACAACTTTAAATCTAAGCCTAGTTCTCATTTCTTAACTGACTTTCTTGCCTTTTTTCTGTAAGATACTGTCCTCTCAATTACTAAATCCCCCAACCTTCTTCAGTGCACCTCATCCATTCTTGGTTGTCAGTGGTTTATCATTCAGCTATTTTATAGGAATATGAAACATTGTTTAAAGGATATTGTGAATGAGATTTGGATGTTTATTTTTAAAATCTGGCCCTATCTTGCTTTTCTGTAGAACAAAAAAGAAACTGGAAGAACAGCCAAGCAATTTATCGTCTATAATGCATTTATGAGTATTTAGAGTAACAAACGTTTATAGATGTACTAAATTAGACATTTCTGGAGAATATAAACCTTGCAGCACACTCTACTGTAGATTACATAGATTATTTTATAGATTTCAGAAGAGAATCAATTCTCAAATATGACTCAGTAACTCCTACAGTCTGAAAGCCAGATTTAATGTTTGAGTATATAAGATTTTCCACATTTCTAATTAGTGAGACTATTCTGTATTACATCATTTTGTGCATTATAATTTTTTCCAATTGATATTTGAGATCATCCCTATAGTAAAACTGCAGATAAGATGAGGAATTTTGTCTATCAAAATGATGTTACTGATACACATCATTTGTAGTAAGACATATTGAATCATTTTTCTAGTAGTGTTGGTGAGTTTACTCTGACTCATCCTTTTCTCCATTTGTCCTTAAAGTCAAAAACAACATTTTTAGACTTTAGCTTTCTAAAGTCCTTTGTAACAGTGTGACTTTTTTTTTTTTTTAATAAATTTTATTTATTTATTTTTGGCTGTGTTGGGTCTTCCTTGCTGCGAGCAGGCTTTCTCTCGTTGCGGTGAGCGGGGGCTACTCTTGCAGTGCGTGGGCTTCTCGTTGCAGTGGCTTCTTCTGTTGCAGAGCACAAGCTCTAGGTGCACGGGCTTCAGTAGTTGTGGCTCGCAGGCTCTAGATTGCAGGCTCACTAGTTGTGGTGCATGGGCTTAGTTGCTCCGTGGCATGTGGGATCTTCCCAGACCAGGGCTCGAATCCATGTCCCCTGCATTGGCAGGCGGATTCTTAACCACTGCGCCACCAGGGAAACCCCAGTGTGACTTTCTTAAGTTTGAGCTCTTAAATATTATGTGTCTTAAGAAGAATCTAGAAACATAGGTAGCAAAACCTTTCTTATTTCCCTCTTTTTATTGTGGTTTCATTTCAATTGTGTTTATTCAGAGTGGTAGACTACAGAGGGTCATGTTGTCTTAGAGAATTAATACCCTTATCCTAATTAAGCTTATGGGTGCAACCTTAACTCCTAAGCATAAATTATGTCACTTTTTTGTCAGTTCATTTTATTTAGTATTTTTTTCTCCTCTCTTTTGGATATATTTCAGATTTTTTGTGTGTGTTCTTTTCCTCTGTAGGTTTCAGAATTGACAAGTGAACAAAATAAGTGCAATCGAAGGAAATATTATAAGTCTGTCTTGCATCAAAAGTCCAGCTTCTCACGTGACACAGAAAGTTTCACCAATAATGTAACATTTCAGTATGGCAGGAGAGGAAGTAGATTTTGTTATTCTTAGAAATGGAATAGAGTTGTGTTTAGATTTTCAGACTTTCTTATGATGCTACTAATTTATGAGATAACATGTTTAGGAAGAGTTTAAGTCAGTTGGTTTATGTTGTAAAAGAATTACTTAGGTGCCTTGTTAAAAAATATAGATTTCTGGGCTCTACCTCTAGACTTCGTGGCTTATTGGTCTGAAGTAGGCCCAGGAATTAGCATTTTGACAAGCACTTCTGGTTTTTCTAATGCAGGTCTTCCTTGGATAGCCCTCTGAGTAAAACTCCCTTAGAGAAATTCTAAAACTGAAAATTATGTACAATAAATTAATTATCTTGGTGGAAAAAAAAAGCTCATATATGAAAGTATTTCATATTGGAACCAGTTTATATGACATCTTGATTTTCCAAATGAGGAACTAAATTTCCCTGTCAAATATATAAGCATTCTAGATTTCAAGATGTAACTGTTGAAGCTTTCAAGACATGACTGATGGTTCTTTATTTTTTCCCTATGCATTTTTTAGCACCTTGAGTCTAAGGAATGGCAGGTTAGCTGTGCTCAATGTCCAGTTCCAACCAGACATTATGATATTTAGTATATAGTTAAACATATACATTATGGCATGTAAAACTACATTTCCATTCTATACTCTGTCATGGCATGGATATGAACAATGTTTAGTTTTAATTTAAGTGTTGTTAAATATTTACATCTGAAAAGACAAATTATAAGGAAAAGACTATTAGATCAATAGAGTCCTGGTTTTAAGGTTTTTCTTTTCTTTCTTTAAAAAATTTTTTTTAAATTAAGATAATAGATGTTTATTGTTTGAGATTTTGAGAGTATGTATATGCACCACAAGCTTTTGGTGAATATTTTTCCAGATATAACACCAAGCATAGTTTTACATGGTCTGACCTTATTTGTAAACAAAGAACCGTATTTTGGTTTCTAATTGTTTTAAGAGATAAATAAGACTTCTGTTTTTTCTCTTTCAGTACTGTTGTCCAGACATGATAAATAACTTTTTGGGACTGGCTAAAACAGAATTTTCAAGTACAGCAAATAAAAGTAAGACTGTTGATTCAGAAAAAGGAAAACTGATCATGTTAGTTAATGACTTTTATTATGGAAAACATGACGGAGATGTCCAGGAAGAACAGAAGACTTACACAACCTTTAAATGCTTCAGTTGCTTGAAAATTCTTAAAAATAATATTAGGTATGTTAGCACTTATTTTTATTTCTATTTGAAAATTGGAATGCTACAGATATAAATGTTGTATCTTTATCTTGCATTTTTTAATGTTATTCTAGATAAGATTTTAACACTTTGCACTAAGAACAAAGACATACTCTCTTGTTAAAAAGCTTTTGTCCTTTCTTATATTTTAGAGTTGACTCTTGGATCCAGTTAGTTGTATTTCTTTAAAATAACTTAAGAAAGGACAAACTTTATTTCAAATAAAACAAAATTAACTTCTTTTACCTATATTATCAGTGATCTAGGAATTTTCATGAGATAATTTTCATATTCAGCTGCTTTTGAATTTTATTTTTTTTCACACCACAAGAAGAACCACTTATTTATGTTTTGTCCAGTTTGACCTCTTATATACTAATCTTGTTTAATGCTCAAATCCCGTAAAAGAGTTAGTTACAAGAATAAAATGAGAAGACATATAGATTGATATTTTTATTGGTTACATAGCTTGACATTTATATTTGGTAAGGTTTTTTACCATCATTTTATTATAAAAATTTTCAACATTCAACAAATTTAAAAATATTTTGTAATGGACACTTGTATACTTATCATCTTGTTTCTATCATTAACATTTAACTGTACTTGCTTCATCATATAGCTATTCATCCTTCCTTCAAACTATTTGGGTTTTTTTGTGCATTTCAAAGTAAGTTGCAGATGTCAGTGTACTTCCGTCATTTGAGGCATGTGTGTGTGTACAAACATACATATGCATAACTTTTTATGTTTACCCTTGGTGACTATTATTTGTAATTAGCATTCTTAGGTACCTATAGTTTACTTGTAGACCCAGCATTTATTTTATTTTCCTGTGAGTTCTTGGGTCCAAGAAGAAGCATATAGAAAAACCCTGAAATACACTGTGATAAACTCCTATAATAATTACTTTTTTATGGTAGTGCTTTATAGTTTTAAAAATTCTTTTACATATATTATTTCATACAAGTTTTCACATTTATCTCCTTTCATCAAGTTTTAACAGCCATCAATAGCTAATGGTCCCAGTAGCTTAACAGAAGGAATATTGTACTTCGAGATATAACACTGAAACAATATTACAATAGAACTCTTTCC